CATCCGGGGAGGTGGGGGCACTGGGGCTTAGCCTCTCCTCCTGCCCTCAGCAGCCCTGGCCTCCGAGCGGGTCCCCATACGCCCACCTAACATACCTGGCCCACTCTGCTTGGGTCCAGATCCCTGCTGGCCTCACCTCCTGGCCTCATCGTGGAAGACCCCAACTCAGCCTCCGACCCTGGGTCTTCTCAGACTCACCCCAAATTCCATGTTGCAACAGCCTGCGCCCCTCAGAGCCCCCTCTTATTGCTATTCCCCCCCAACGGCAGCTGGCTGTGCACGGCCTGCTGGGGACACAGGACGGGCTCACCGTGCACCAGTGCCCCACTCACTCCAGTCCAGCCCGCGCCCACAGCCTCTGTCCAGGACCTCCTGGGGCCGAGCGTTGGCTGCTGCTGGGGATGAGGCTCAGCCCTGCCCTCCAGGGGCTGCCGGTCTAGGTGGAGGACAGGGGTATGAAGGCACAGATAATTCCCTGCCACGAAGTGAGGGCCGCCACCAGGGCCTGAATGGGGAGCTGTGAGTACACAGAGGGAAGAGAGACCAATGCTCCCAATGGGGTGGGGCAGCCTTCACAGGCAGCGACCCTGGAGGGTGGGCAGGACTCCATAGGATGGAGGAGGAACGCTCTCCACTGGGCGGAGAGCGTGAGCCAAGACCCAGAGCTGAGAACAAGGACTGCAGTTAGCCAGTGTGGCTCGGGTGACACTGAGGTCTTTAGGGGTGGAGGAGCAAGGAGTTTCTAGCACATTCTCTTCCATTTTCAGCAAGTTTTGCTGTCCCTTTCTCTCCTTAGAGCTGAAAAGCCTGTCCTTAGCAATTGCTTAGCTGTTCCCTGGAACATTTACAAATCAAGCTGGCATTTCTATTTCACGAATATATTTGGGATACTAATGGCCAACAGGAAAGATATTAATGGTCTTCTCAGGAGAACCCTGTCACCGCCCCCAATCCCACCCCCTCCAACGAACTCAGACCCAGAAAGAACCCTGTAAATGGGCAGAACATGGTCACCACTCACGGCCAAGGCCAGAGCAATGCACCTGCCAGCAAATTAGAGTCAGCTTGAAATTAGCCACACACCCCCAATTAGGTGCCTAATCTTGACTTATAAAGAAGGACTTTATTAATTTCTTAAATCTCCTCTTGTCTGTCTGGAGGTGGCCCCTGGAATATGATTTTAAATTCTTTCCAGGACATCAGTGAACAGGGAAGAAGCCGGCTGTGAATTTCAAATCTGTAAGCTTCTTATCCGAGAAGAGCCTGGGCCAGTGGGGCTGAGAGGCAGGTGGGGCCCTGCTAGCCTAGGGAAGGGCTCCAGGTGACCTCCTGAGTGGCTGGATGACACTAGGACTGGCCTGAGGCCAGTGCTGCCCTCACCCCCACCCTGCACCAGACACCAGAGAGGCCAAGATTTCTTTAAACGCAATAAGATTTTGGGGCACCTGGTGGCTCAGTTGGTGAAGTGTCTGCCTTCGGCTCAGGTCATGATCCTGGGGTCCTGAGATCGAGCCCCGCATCGGGCTCCCTGCTCAGTGAGGAGCCTGCTTCTCCCTCTGCCTGCTGCTCCCCCTGTTCATGCTCTCTCTCTGCTCTCTCTCTCAAATAAATAAAATATTTCTTAAAAACTAAGATTTTACTGTTTCCTTGATATGATGCCACCAGAATAACACGTGCTCCCTAGAGAAAATCAAGGTGGAGGAGAGAAAAACCATAAAGAAGAAAATCCCCCATGATCCTCCCACTCAAGACATCAGTTCTGGAACATTCCAGAGACTTTGCCCTCACTGGCCTCCTTGCTTCCAATCTAACTCTGCAATCCAGACCTTCGAACACCTTTTTAAAGGTCACTCCCCTAATGTAACCTCCCCAAAATCCCCATTGCACTTAGAATCAACCCCAAACTCTGGTCCCTGGCCCACAGGCCTATGTGAACACGAGCCCGCCTCCCTGGATGCACCATGTCCCCATCACCAGAATGCGAGCGTGCCCTGTTCCTCCCATCCCAATGTCACCCCAGTGCCTGAGACACACGTGGCACGTGGTGGGTTCTCAATGAGACAGACTGAATGGGTGAATGAGTACTTCCTTCCGGTCTTTTCTCCGGGTGTGTGTGTGTGTGTGTGTGTGTGTGTGTGTGTTTGTAAACTGCTGACGTAGCTAAGATCATACATCAACATTTCTCAGAAATTCCACACACTTTTGCACGCAAACTATTCTACCCCTTCTCCCTGCTGCTCAGCCTCATGACCTCATGATCAGATGTCCCCCTCCTGCAAGACCCACCCATGACCCCTACCTCTACCCCAAGGGGAGGCTTGATCTGGCAAATGCCAGCTCATGGGGGCAATAGTACGAGGTACACAGCACTTCACAGTTTATAAAACTCAGTCAATTCCTCCATCCTAATGGAGCCTGGAAACAACCCACCTCCAAAGAGGGAGGCAGGGCAAAGGGGAGTCTGACCACCTGCCTCGAAAATGAGGCCACTAAAGCTCAGAGAGGTCACGTGGCCTCTGTAATTAGCGGGACAGGAAGCAGACCCAGGACATGCGGCCCCAACTGGCAAAGTCCAGTTACACTGAATCAGAGAGATTTCACCGAAAGGAGATACAGGGCAGCATGAGCTCGGCTCTGGAGTCCAGCTGCCTGCCTTGGAATCCTAGCTCTGCCCCTTACTATTTGTGTGGCCTTGGGTGAGTCACTTCACTTCTCTGGGCCTCGGTTTTCTCCTCTGCAAAATGGGGATGATAACAGCTCCCGCCTCATTCTGTTGTCAGGAGGATTAATGATTTGATCACACACACAACGGGCATAGAAGAGTGTCTGGCACATACTATAGCTCATTAAACACTAGCTGTCTAAAGATGCACATGTGTCCAGATGGATGCACCTACATGGACCTAATGAGCGCACCGCCCACCTCTCAGCCATGACCACCACATCCCCGGGGACCTGAACTGCCAGCCCGCGGAGGATGAGTCTTACTTTCGTACAACAAGCAGGTTCCCAAAAAGCCAGCTGCAAATGGACTTCTAGAAGCTGCTCCGATTTAAACGTTCACTCACGAGCGAATTCCTTGCCACTCAGTCAAGTACAAGAGGGACTCCTCATTCTTGGGTCTAAAGCCCCCCAGCCCCAGCCCACCCTACTTGAATGACGTCTACAAACACTTTGAGGCAGCCAAGGGGAGAAGCCTGGGGGAAAGGAACCTTTTCTAAAAGGCAGACCCCTTTGTAAGCTCACACTCCCCACCCCCAGCAACAACCCAGGCAAATAAATCAATGCAGCTCCAAGTGCAAATTATGAAGACCCCCAAATTCCCATGGTTGTTCTGACTTCTGTGAAGAGGCAGGTAGAACGATGTCTCTAAAATGCCCAGCTCACCGTGCTGGCCCCCTGTGCCCCCAGTGATCCTGAGGCTCAGAGTCGTGGTCAGCACAGCCCTCTCTTCCAGGACCCTCAATGTCCCAAAGCCGCTTACGCCGGCCACGGCAAACAGTGGCTCCTCTCAAGTGTCCACCAGCACACACGGCCTCCACTGTCCCCTCGGCCTGCAACAGCCCCCTTTCCCTGCACCAACAGCACGTGGCCCACCTGTTTGGTTCATTCATCGACTCCACAGGGATGGGACCTCGTCGTGGGCTGGGGGCTCGTCGGAAACAGTCCCCACCCTGGAGAACCTCAGGGTGAGAACCTCGGGCTGACATCCTCTACTTCGTAATTAGGACAAAAACAGCACCTGTCCCTAAATTCACCTAGTTCCCAAAAGTCATGTATGCCGGTACACACAGCCTGCCCCCGGCATCGCCATTCCCAGAGTCATTCATTCATTCATTCGTTCACGCAAGTAAACATAAACAATAAAGTGACATACTGTCTGGCCCACAGTGGGAGCCTGGCATCTGCCTCAGACATAGGCTCTTGGCTCAGCCAAGTGCAGCCTCACATCTTTGGAGACCCACAGCCAGGGAGACGAGAAGCCAGCGAGGACCCCCTCCTAGGAGGCGGCCGGGGCCAGGAGGCAGCACGGGGCTGGTTAGAAGCCTGCGGCCGACCCACCCTGCAGGAGCTCTCTCCCACCCCGGCCTTCACGTGGTCCAGCCCAAGCAGGGCACTTGATCAGAATTTCCCATTCAAAAAATCAATATTTAAAGCTCCAAGACTGCCAAGCGGAGGGGAAGGCCTTGCTTGTAAATATTTGTCTCTACTGGTAGAGCTGGGCCCCTTGCTCACTGCAGCCTCCCCGCGCTGCTCCTGGCCCTCTGCTCACAGAACTCCCAGCCAAGTGTGCAGCAGGAGGGCCCTGGGGGTGGGACCGGCTGGCAGCCAGGGAGCGGGGCTGGGCCCCAAGGTGGGCCGGCCCTGCACCCACACCTCCAAGACCGGAAGCTCGTAGCGAGGCCACCCAGGGGCCCTCCATCTGTCCCCCAGGCCACAGCAGAGACAACACCCTCGGAGGTTTCTCTGGATCCCAAGCAAGCGGCTTTTCCCAGGGGCGCTCCATATTCATGTCGTTTTTTGTTTGGGAAGAAAGCAAAAAGCTGAAGACAAATCCCTGGGGGTATGCTTATAAATCATCGCCCACCATTGCCCACATTGCTCAGCTGCCCCTACCCACAGCTGCCCCCGGGAGGGCCTGCGTGGGTCCCCTGTTGGCGGGTCCCCTCACTGGGGAAGCCATCACAAGGGCAGTGGGTGGTGCCTGCCCGGACATCACCATTCCCAGAGAGGCATTCATTCATTCATTCATTCACTCACCAATTATTTGTTGAACACCTACCTGTACCAGGCACCGGGGGCTGGACACGCCAGTGGACATAAACAGACCTGAGCAAAATCCCTTCGGGAGGGCATCTCCCAGGCCAAAAGAACTGCACAAACAAGTCACGGCTGAGACAGGTGCTGGGGTAGGAGACGTCGAGGTGTGACAGAGAGTGGGAGGTCAGGGAGGGCTTCCCTGGGGAGCATAGCAAGGCCACCTCCTGCCCAGCACCTACCAAGCCACTCGTTGAACTTCTTGACCTCGCTTGGGAGCCCCAGCTCTGTGAAGTCCCCGGCGTGGATCAGCACGTCGCCGTAGGGCATCTGGATGGGGTCTGTCCTCGAGTGGGTGTCAGACACACAGACGAAGCGGGTGTAGCCGGGCGGCTTTGGGGCATCATGAGGCACAGGGTCCACCCTGCAGGGAGAGAAGAAACTGCAGGTGACCCATGTCCAGCCCGTGGCCAAAGCCACAGCTCACAGTCCCGTCCGCTCGGACCACATCCACCCCAAACACAGACAGTGTGCCCAGCCTTCCCAATGGGACATCAGGGGTCCGAGTCCTGACTCTCCTGCTCGCCAGCCGGGCAAAAATGTGTGTTCCCCTGGGCCTCAGTTTCCCTTCTATAACACGGGGCCCTCGGAGGGTCCAAGGAGGTAACGAGTGGGGAGCACCAGTGGGCACAGTGTGATTGTGACAGCTAACCCACTGTTTGGCTATTGCTAACCCTCTCTCCCATCACCCCCTGCGGGGCCTCTTTAGATGTTTTTTCCCTACTCGCTCCCCTCCCATGAGATTTTAACACCACAGACAGCTGTATATGTGTTCATGTATGTATATTTGGCTTTATAATAAGAAGAATAAGCTTTTTTTTCACCCCCTAAAAACCAGTTTCATCCCCTCAGGCACGCCATCAGCCCCATCAACAATGCAAGGGCTATAGTCTCTGGTCCTAGTGAAAGAGCTGTCCCCCCGCAGCGCCCCTCGGAGCACACACAGCACCCAGGGAGAGCTGCGTGGGAAAGCGGGGATTTCACAGGAGCACATGAAACCAAGGCAGTTTTTCTAAACTCTGAGATGGTCCCATCATTTTTATTTTATTTTTTTTTAAGATTTTATTTATTTATTTGACAGAGAGAGACACAGCGAGAGAGGGAACACAAGCAGTGGGAGCGGGAGAGGGTTCAGAAGCAGGCTTCCCGCCGAGCAGGGAGCCCAATGCGGGGCTCCATCCCAGGACCCTGGAATCATGACCTGAGCCGAAGGCAGACGCTTAACGACCGAGCCACCCAGGCGCCCCGGTCCCATCATTTTTAAAACAAGGGCTTTCCGGGGCGCCTGGGTGGCTCAGGCGGTTAAGCATCTGACTTCAGCTCGGGTTGTGATCTCAAGGTCCTGGAATCAAGCCTCAGTGGGGAGTCTGCTTGTCCCTCCTCCACTGCCCGCCCCCAGCTCGTGCTCTCCCTCTCTCTCTCTCAAATAAATAAATAAAATCTTTAAAAACAAAACAAACAAAACAAAAACAAGGGCTTCCCAGGGGTGTGTAGGAAAAGAGTCCTGGAATCAGAAGACCAGGATTCGAACCCCAGCTCTGCCCCTTATCACTAATGTATGACCTTCAATTTGGCCTTGCTTTGCTTGCCTGTAAAATGGAGCTACCTCACTAAGCAAAAATTATCAGAAAATTAAGAGCTGCAGGAATGTAACTTCTTGTTCTGGGAAGCCCGCCATAGCCCTCTGGTTCCGCAGACAACGGCACTGAGAGAGTGGCCCCCAGCGTGCCAGGGAATAAAGAGAGACTGTGGGACACGAACCCAGCTCCGTGCTCCCAGTTCAGTGTTCCCCCTGCCACGTTCAGCCTCCTCAGCTGAATGATTGTGCCAGGCTCAAAACTCTTAAAAACAACGCAATGACATTTCAACGAGCAGCTATCTCCAAATGAGTATGCCGCTCGAGGAGTTGTGTTTAAATCTAATTATGCGGCAAACCAAAAGCAGTACCATATCAGTTACATAAATACTTTTAAAGACATCTTTCTAATTATCCTTTTTTTTTTTTCAGACAATATACTTCGAAGAAATTTAATTAACACCTTACGAGAGACGTGGGTTCAGCATGCTAATGTGCAGGGAGCATTAGAACGCTCTATCCACCGCAGTCGGAGGCACCAAGCCAGCCTCTCTCCATGGCATCCCGGTGCCGGGACCGAAGGGAGCTGCTTGGCCCTTGAGGGGGGTGGTAGAGCCGAGTTAGACCCCCAGCAGGTCCAAGCGAGGTGGTGTGACCAGGGAGAAGAGGAAGATTCCCTGAGTCCAATGGCAACCAGCAAGAAGGCACTGGGGCTCTTCCTCTTCCCTCTGCATGCAGGCATCCTTTCATTCATTCATTCATTCATTCAGCCCAGCACATTCTGCCCACCCGCTGTGGGCCAGCCCTGAGCTCAATGCTGGGGCCACAGGGATGAACCAGGCCTGATCCCAGGCCAAGAGACTCCAGACTGATGGCAAAGCCAGGCAGCTTTGATGGGGCAACAGAAAAGCTGGGGGCCAGAGAAGGCCCTACCCCAGCAAGGGGCTCCATAGAAGCTTCCAGGGGGAGGTAGGACCTGAGCTGGTCTGGGAGCTAAAATCTCCCCTCCCACCCCTCTGTTCTCTGAGTCCCTTCCCTCCTCTGCCCCCTCCCTCCCCCCACACCCTGACAGACAGTCTGGCAGGTGGCAGGCCTGTGGATCACCTACACATCCTGCTGCCCCAACACAGCTACTGGACCAAGGGAAGCCTATCACTACTGGGCTCTCGTCCTGGCACAGGAACATGAGTCAGCCAATCAGATTCATTTTTCATTCATTCACTCATTCACCCCTACACACACTGAGGTCATGGGCATGCCACAAGGTGACAGAGGACAAGTCAAAGAGACAAGAGAGATGAAGAAGGCAGAGACAGGGAGCGAGATGCCACCTCCAGAGCCACCTCTGGTCCCAACAAGCTCTCCTCCCCTGAGTCCCTTAGCAAGGAGCCTGAGCAGGCCTCAGCCCCGCCCGCCACCAGCCAGCCAAGGGCAGCGCGAATTCTGAGGGCTCCAGTGGGGCTGGCCTGCTGCTGGAGCCCGGGCTCTTTAATTAACTGTGCTTATTTCCCTCCACCCTGAGGCTACTGAGCTCAGTGAGGATGCAAACCTAATAATCCCCAGAGAAAAAAATAAAGACTCTTACTTCCCTGCACCATCCTCCAGCTATTTGGCTTGTATTTTGTATTGAAATAACAACAAACAGCAATGGGATGGGTGCTTGATGCTTCTCCCAGATCAAGAGCTGGTCATCTGGGCGCCTGGGTGGCTCAGTTGGTTAAGCAACTGCCTTCGGCTCAGGTCATGATCCAGGAGTCCTGGGATCAAGTCCCACATCCGGCTCCCTGCTCAGCGGGGAGTCTGCTTCTCCCTCTGACCCTCCACCCTCTCATACTCTCTCTCTATATATATCATTCTCTCTCTCAAATAAATAAATAAATAATAAAATCTTTAAAAAAAAAAAAGAAAAGAGCTGGTCATCTGCTAAGCGCATGACACTCACTCACTGCCCTTGCGCTCACGATGACCATGTGGGCAGGGTACTATGGGTGTGCCCATTTTACAGAGGAGGACAAGAACAAGAAGAGTCAAGATATGGGGCGCCTGTGGCTCAGTCGTTCAGCGTCTGCCTTCAGCTCAGGTCATGATCCCAGGGTCCTGGGATCGAGCCCCGCATCGGGCTCCCTGCTCGGCAGGAAGCCTGCTTCTCCCTCTCCCACTCCCCCTGCTTGTGTTCCTGCTCTCGCTATCTCTCCCTCTGTCAAATAAATAAATAAAGTCTTAAAAAAAAAAGAAGAAGAAGAAGAAAAAGTCAAGATATGGAGAAAGAGAAAGAAAGGGAGCATACCAGAAGGTGGGACAGCTTAACAGCATAATTTGACCCCTAGATCCAGCTATACCTGAAGCTGGCTCCAAACATGGACTTCCTCACTAACTAGGTGAGCCAATAAACTCTTCTTTTATCCTTAAGACAATTCACATTGAGTTTCTGACACTTGTAATGCCAAACGCCAGCTAACACCTGAGTCACAGCAGCCCCGGGGAGTTACTGAGGTTGGAAACGTTAGTCCCGTATCCAAGGCCTTGGCTAGCAAGTTAAAGAGTAGATTTGAACCTGGGTCTTCACAACAGGAATTTGTCAACACCTCTGTGACAAGAGAAAACAAAGCAAAATGGTTATTTTTTCCAGTGACATTCTGCAGGGTCCAGAGACAAGGCGACAGTTGCAGCTTTCTCTCCGAGACCGGAAACCTGTCGCCACCTCTCCCCCGCCTAACAAGGGATATTCCCACAGGGATCATGGCGGCAGGAAGGGTGCAGAATAGAGAACATGGCCTCCGGCGCCCAGACTAGGCCTGCACCCCGACTGGGCCACCTCCTCGCTGTGCCCTGGACCCTCCCACCCTCCAGGCCAGCTCTGTAAGGTGGGGACATCCTGCTCACTCTGGGAGAAGGTGTGAAAATTCAAGGACCTTTGAGGCTCGAAGGCTGGATGTGAGTGCCCGCTGCAGCCACTTCCTGGGCCCTGGCGCTCTTCTTGGGGCTCCCCCTCCCGTGAGCCACTGGCTCCCTGGAAGTGCAGAAACTCCACAGAGGCCGTCCCCTCCGTCATCTCTACTTCTGGGGAAATGGGGAACTCTGAAGGATGGGGGGCCGTTGGGGGGCAGAGGACTCCTCCCCTCAGTGAGGTTCCAACCACATGTCTAGACAAGTGACTGCGCATCAGCCATGGTGTTCCTGAATGGGAGAGCCTACCAATCCCTTCCCCTCATTCAACAGTGGGGAAACTGAGACCCAGGCAGTGACTGGTTAGCTCAGTGTCACACAAATGCCCAGTGCTCTTCTCACGAGGCCCTCGTTCTGAGGTGACCCCCACCACGCTGCCCTCCTGAGCCTACCCTTCCTTCCCACCTCTGGGCCTTTGCTTTTGCTGGTCCTTCAAGCCCAGGGGTTATGCCGCTGCCCCCACGAATCCCTCCTTGATCTGCCCCACTCTTCTGGGGCCATACTCCCTGCCTTATTCTCACTCCCTTTTCCTTCTTCTTTCTATCTCTCTGTTGTGCTAGGCTCCAGGGCCCAGCCCCAGGCTGGTGGCAGGGAGAGCCCCTAGAGCTGGGGCCAGCTTTGAGGGAAGGGGAGACCTGGTCTGGCGAGCCATCAGAGAGCCTTCCCGAGGAAGTGACGGCTGGGTGAGATCTGAAGAATGAGTCCGTGTTATCAGGGCAAAGCGTGGGGGAGGCAGAAGTGACAGCACTTACAGCCATGCAGGCACCTGAGGTAGGAGGAGGCACGGAATGTTCCAGGCCTCGCCTCTCCTCCTGCCTTGCCCCTCCATCCTCTCTGGGCTCAAGGCTGACCCCCACTGCCTCTGGGGGCCTCTCAGTGTGTGGACGGGCTGGGACCACAGGGTCCCCTCTGAAACCTCAGCGCATCGGAGAGGGGATGAACGCACTGACCGGGCACGGCTGGGAGGTCCAGGAGCCCGGCACACAGGGGCATCTCCAGGCCAGGCTCACAGCCATGCTCCAGCCACTTGGCTTCATTCTTTTTTTTTTTCAGATTTTATTTATTTATTTGATGAGAGAGAGCTAGTGAGAGCAGGAACACAAGCAGGGGGAGTGGGAGAGGGAAATGGAGGCTTCCCGTGGAGCAGGGAGCCCAATGTGGGACTCGATCCCAGGACCCTGGGATCATGACCTGAGTCGAAGGCAGACGCTAAACGACTGAGCCACCCAGGCGCCCCTCTGCTACATTCTTCAAGATGTGCTTGGAGGGTCTTTAAATAGGATGACTCGAGTCTCCACCAACAGGATTCTTTTTAAAGGTCAGCGAGAAGAGTCACTATGCCTGACACCAGCCCCCAAGGCACTTCTCAGGCAGACCATCAGGATAACCCTGCCCATCAAGACTTCTCACCAGTCATGGGGCCACACATCCACCCAGCCCCCCCAGGGTAGAAGGGCTGGCACCTGGATGGGCTCTCCCTAGGCCACCACAGGGTTTCTAGGCCCTCAGGGTGAGGGATCTTTGGTCTCGGAGCCCTGAACCCAGAGGCCCAGATCCAGAGATTCATTACTCAGGCAAAGGCAGCCTCATCACCCCCAGGGTCTCTGGGGCAACCACATAAATCACACGGCTCAATCGGGGGCCACGTTTGGGTTGTCACTGTTGTTATTGAATATAAATTGTGGATTTATTAAATACGGCCCCCTCGATCCCTCACCCCGGAGAACAAAGCCCAGGGCAGTGATAAATCACGCGTCGGGAAGCGGCATCCATCCTCCCTGTCTCTCCCGCGATGGAGACTCGCCATGGAAACCTGCACAGCCACCATCGGCAGCCCGCACGCTTCCCTCGTGCTGGGGGCCTGCAGTCTGAAAGAAGGGGAGGTGGGAGGAAGCAGCCCCCCAATCCCTGCCTGGCCCTGGCTTCCCCCGGCTTTATGCAAAGTTGCGTCTCAGAGCCGGGCTGGCCCGAGCAGGCAATGAGGGAGCACTGGACGAGGAGCCCAGAACCAGGGCTCGGTGCATGCTCTTCCCGGGGCACTCACTGCCCAAACCCCTGAGCCCCACTGCCGATGGCAGCCTGGAACCCCTGCCCTGGGAGGTGGCCGCGTGGAGCAGGCCGGGTGCGATGGGCATGGGCGTGGGGCAGGCCTCCTCCCCTCTGACCTCCTGTTCCCCTAGCTCTGTTCCGGGGCTGGGGCCTGCTGGGTGTCTGCGGGGCCCTGTAAGCGACAGCTCTGCACGGTGCCACATGACATTATCTCCGGTGCCCGGGGACCCCTCTAAGTGGGGCAGGGGCACAGGCTACATGAACCCCACCTGCTTTGCCTGCCACCCAGGTGCTCTTGCCCGTCCCCGCTGGGGCAGGAGTCCAGCCCAGCATCCGGGGACCCCAGGCATGGTCACTTCCAGCCCCAGAGGACTAACCCCATGGACAAAAGACAAAACCCGGCGTGGGGAAGGTCTCCCTCCCTGCAGTGGCCCTGCCAGGCCTCAAGGTCCCCACCACTAAAAAATCGAATGCTGCGAAACTGGGCCTTCCGTCTTGACCCAACCTGCCAATATGGCCCCCAAAATGGAAATAGGAGGCAGTTAGTTCCCCAAGTAGAAATGTGCCAAAAAATAAAGTAGGCAGCTCCTGACAACACCAGGCCTCAGTGCCCACAGAAGTGAGCGTTTTCCCAAGCAAGCACCAAGGGGAGGGTGTATGCCCAGCGCTGGAGTGCACCCCAGGCTTGGTGCCTGCCTGCCTTCCAGAGCCCTTCTTCCCATGAGGAATCTGTCCACACTCACACTCCCCAAAAGAGGGCGGCTCCTGAGGGAGCCACATGGGAACCAGAGGCAGCGACCTGCCCACCCCCCACCTCCTGGCCTGGGAATGGAAACCCCCTGGCCTCCTTCTCCAAAGTGGTCCACGAGCCAGATTCTCCAGTCTCCTCAAAGGGACAGCCACCAGGCCCCCATGTTATCACTGCTCCCTCGAGTTGGGGCTCACAGCCCTGGAAGAAGTCGGGGATAAAGAAGGCGGAGGGTCTTCTAGGAGCTGCCTGGAGCAGAGCCGGGAGTTTAGCCACTTCCTCCCTGGGCTTCCTCTGCGTCTCCAGACCTCAGAAGACCACCCAGGGAGGGGAAAGTTTCCTCCGAGTCCCAGGGGATCCCAAATCTGTGCCCTCGCCTTGGCCTTCCTGCTGGGACATCCCTGGAATTCTGCCTCGGCCCTAATGGGCAGGCGGCAGGACTCCCCAGTCCTTGAGGAAAGCATCTCTGCCTTCTCTATAGAAGCAACAGGGCTCTGGACAAAAGAAAGAGGTAGAGGTCAGGGAAGACAGCCAGCCCAAAACTAGGGTCCCAACCTGCCTGGAGCCTGGAGCAAGGCCCCTCCCTCTCGGGCCCTCAGTCTCCCCGGTTGTACAATGAGGAACATGAATTAGACCAGGAGTCACCAACCCAAATACCAAGAGCGGGCATCTGGAGCTCAGCCCCCCAGACATCGCCGTGAGGCCTTGTGGGCCCGCAGCTGCCAGGACTTGCGGTTTCCTAAAGCAAAGCCAGAAGTCTGGATTTTTATGTGCCATCCCCTCATTGTCAAATATTTGTGAAACATCTCCTGGCCAACTGAAACAGGACTCGGAGCCAGAACCGGCCTCCAGCCCGTCCCAGCGATGTCTCACACATCCCTCCCGACTCGGAGCCTCCAGAATCGCATCGGCCGACAAGCACCCTCAGCCGTTGGGCCCAGAGGCCGGGAGGCACCCCGAGTCCGCAAGCCCACCCCAGGCAGCCGGTCCCACCCAGACCTGCCCACTTACATCTGCACGTGCGGTGGCTGGAAGCGGCCCTGGTTGATGTTGTAGAAGGTGAAGGCCTGGGTGGGGTTGGAGCTGTATTCGTCCACTTCAATGATGAGCCGGCTGTGCTGGTGTCTCCGAGCGGCTATCACGTGCGACTGGGAGAACGCCATGCCCAGGCCGCAGGGCAGGAGGGCCAGGGCCTCTGCCTTCAGAACACCGGGATCCCACCTAGCGCGCCACATGGACCTCTGCTGGCCGCCCAGGCATCTCCCGCCGCCGCCGCCGCCGCCGCCGCCGCCACCGCCGCCCGGCCCCGAGCCAGACCTGGGAACAGACTGAGGAGACGGAGCAGAACCGTACGACAGTTAATCTGTTTGGGATTTGCTTTATTTAATGTCAGATGAAGATTTAGAAAGACGAAGGGGGGAGAGAAGAAAAACACAGTCATACAGCTCAAAAACTCATTACAGATCTTTCCAACTCAGCAGTTTGATGAATATACTTTGGTAAAAAGAAAAGGAGAGGAAGGGGAGGGGGGGACCAAAAAAAAAAAAAAAAAGAAAAGAAAAAAACCCACAACGCCGGGGATGGATGCATGCATGGTCCGACATGTTTAAATACTTAAGACATTTTTTTTTTGTTGTTCTTCCACAAAATTCTCCAGAGCCCACAGGGTGACCGGGAGCTGGGGCAGGACAATGGCTGGTATTCTGGAAACAGGTAAGGTAAGTTTCACTTATCCGAATGGGGGAATAGGGAAGATTCCCCTGCCACCCAGCCCCCTCCCCACAGACCCCCAAACACACCCCACCCACACCCCTGCAAGCCCCAGCAGGTGGAGAGCACGGGCGGTCGCAAATTCCTTCCTCAACATCAATGTCGCCTAAAGATATCTTTGAGCAGAGCCTAGAGAAGGGATTTTCCCAGACAGATTGCACTCCACCAACTCAGCTCAGGGGGTGGCCCTGGAGGGGGGGGGTAGGCGGGGGAGGATCTAGTTAAAAAAAAAAAAAAAAAACCTTCCCAAATCCAATCCGCACAGAACCGCAGCCTGCAAATGCCATCATTCTCTTTGCCCTGTGTTCCCTCGGAGAGTGCCGTCTGCATTTGCAGTGACTGGATTTTAACGTCCTTCTGACCGATTTCGACTCGGGCCCGGCTCAGTCTCCAACCTACCCCAACAGGCTCACACCCTGCCCACCACAGCCAATGCCTCCTTTCTAAGACCAGCTAGCTTTCTCCTGCGTTCCCATAATCATTTTTTTTTAATTTGTAAAGAGATAAGGCCTTGAAGATGTTTTGTTGTGTTTTGTTTCCATTTTTGATCATTAAGACCCTCCGATTCCATCTGCACTGAATTTAACCAAGGAGAAAATAACATCATGTAAACTCTTCCTGGTCAGTCATATCCCAGTCACGTTAAACGAAGAAAAATCCCCTTTGCTTTGCACATGGAAGAAGAATCGACACCGTCAGAAAACAAATTAGATTAGGAAAACGACAAAAATTAGAGAGTGGAGAACATTTTAATTACGTGTGAAGTGGATTATTAATTTTTTAAAAATCTCAACAAGCATGCCCATACAAGGTGTAATAAACAGCAATATCCTCCCCCTCCCCCACCCCCGCCCCCAAAAAGCATCCTGATTCGAAACACACTTCTCTCCCTCTTCTCCACTTGGAAGACAAGAAAAAAAAAATCTGCTTTCCCCCAGGATACACTTGCTCCTGTTCTTTGTCCTGCTAATTGTTTCTCTGTGATTCCGCCCTCCCAGCAGAGACGGCCTGGCAGGCCTCTGAGGTGCCCAAGTGGGGGTGTCCTGGCCTCGGGACTCACAAAATCTCTGTGAGAGCTGACCTGTTTCCCTCTGTAACCCTGGGAGAGGCCTGGGGGCCGCAGATGCTGAGGCCCAGACTTCCCAAGGTCCAGATCTGGACAGGGGTTTGAGCCCTAACATTGCACAGACTCACTGTGTGACCTTGGGCCAATGTCCTAACCTCTCTGAGCCTCAGCTGCCTCTTCCTGGAAATCAGTTTCATAACAGTAACACCACCTCCCAGGGCAGCTGTGCAGGTTAAATGAATGGGGATCCTGAGCATAGTGCCTGGCGGGTACCAAGCACCCAGCGAAGACTCCATGTTCCTATTATGATTGCACTTCAGTTCAATGTAACACCTGCAAATCGAGGGCCTGCTGTGAGCAGCTGCTGCCCAGGTACCGGGGCATCTGCGGAACGGGGTGTTGGCTGTGAGCAAAAGGGCCTGGAGAACCCTAACGTTCTCAAATGCCAGCAGACTAGAGCACACCCCCGCCGGAAATCCCAGCCCCAGCATCTCGAAGCCCTGCACAGCCTGGCCCGGCCCTGGCGGCAGCCGTGCAGTCCTGTGGCCCGAGGGCTCCAGCACCCCCCACCCGTGCCCCGAGGGCTCCAGCACCCCTACCCACCCACCCCTTGAGCCCATCAGCGACAGGGTGCTGTGTTCCCGTTTGGAGCCGCCCCGTCCAACACTTCGCAGGGGTCTTGTTCCGCGAGCCTCCCTGCCAACCTAGGAGATGGACATCCCTACCCTCCCATCCCAGAGGGGAGAGGCGCACCTCGGAGATGTGAAGACTCTTGCCGGGCACAGCACAGAGGGTGCGGGCCACCGAGGTCACGCGGCAGGCAGCCCGACGCCAGGGCTCCCGGACCCCCTTTCCTCCTTCTCCAGCGGGCAAAAGCTGATGTGCCCTTTACCCCTCGACAAAGCCAGAATTTCCTCGGAGAGCCCTTGAGCGGGGTCCTCATTCCAGGGTGCCATGAGGAGCCAGACGTCTCCTGGAGGCAGGGCCTGGGTCTCACTCACTCCCCGCCCCCCACGGCAGCTCCAGCGCCGCCCACCCTGCCCCCCAACCCCAAGCTGGGCAACCATGAGCTAGTGGCTTTGCCTCCAGGAGGCTCTGTCTCCTCATCCACGGAATGCAGGGAAAAACAGGAGCTCCCTCATTCAGTCATGGAGATTAAATGAGGGGACACGTGGAAACTGCTTGTCACAGGACCCAGCACGTAGTAAGTGCCCAATAAATGTTAGCGACTGTCCCAACATTATTACTGTCACCCCAGGGCCACTGCAGACCCTCGCATACACCTGGCATTAGTGAACGAATGGCTCCAGGGAGGGAGGTAAGGAGGGAGGGACCCATGAATGGACGGATGGACGGATGGAGGGATGACAGGATGCAGGGGTGGGTGGAGGGACCGAGTATGCGTCTCGCCAGGCTCCTTCCCTAGTGCCCAGCGCGGGCCCGGCAGAGGGGGGTGGATGCCAAGAGGCCTCGGCTGGAGGTTGAAGACTTCTGGTCCCTCTCCTGCTCGCCCACCGCACAACCCTGCAGGGAGGCTGTCCGGGCCGGGCACAGCCCTCTGAAAGGGGAGGTCCCAGGGGCTTCCACCCGTCCCTGCCCCCAAGGGGCATGAGCCTACATGCCCTGCCTCCGGCCTGCAGCTGGGGGCAGGGGAGGACAGCTCGGCACCAGGGGACTCAGCCAGAAAAGGCGGGCGGCAAGGCGTCCCAGGAGGCGCTCCGCAGTGAAATGCTGCATTTCACATAAAGGGGGTTTGCAATGGGCCCTGCTTGAAGAAATCAGGGAAACTGGGAACGCAGAGCCTTCTTTTAATACCCATTTAATATTTATGGAGCCTCAGCAGCGCGTCAGCCGCTGTGCGGAGAACGCAGCCGACCCACGGAGGGGGAGCAACATTTCCCAAACAAACGGCTTCTAGCTGGGAAGCGTTTACACCTGGTCCACAAAACAACGCAGCACACAGGCAGTGCAACAGGGCCGCTGGGACCCGCCAGGCCCCGCTGTGCGGAGACCACCTGGGCACCCGTCCCGACTCCCCATCCAGCAGAGTGAGTGACCTTGAGCAAGGCACACATCCTGGCCAGGCGGCAGGTGCCTCCTCTGTGCCCATGGGTGGGAAGAAAATGAAACTGGGGGGTGGGGGATGAATTAATTAATGCATTTATTTATTCAACAAACATTTACCACAGCCCTACATACTGTCACTGTTCCAGGTGCCAGAAAGAGCAGTAAGAAAGCAAAGTCACTGCCCTCAAGGGAAGGGGGTGGGGAGGGGGCAACAAAGTAAACGCACAAGTACATAGAAAAGATACTTTCAGATAATAATATGTGCCTGGAAAAAGACAAAACAGAGTAACGGAATAATGAATAGGGGGAAAGGGGGATTGTTACTTGAAATTGGGGGGTCAAGAAAGACCTGTCTGAAGAGGTGATGTCACCTCAAAGGTGAGTGCTGAGAGGGAGCCAGCCACACACCCAGACCTGGGGAAAGAGAACCAAGGCAGAGGGAAGTGCAAAGGCCCTGAGGCAGGGGAAGCATCAACAAATGGTCTCTCTCTCAGGGCACCTGGGCACCCAGGTGGCTTAGTCGGTTAAGCAACTGCCTTTGGCTCAGGTCATGATCTCAGGGTCCTGGGATGGAGCCCCACTTCAAGCAGGGAGCCTGCTTCTCCCTCTGCCTCTGCCTGCCACTTGCCCTGCTTGTGCTCTCTCTCTCTCTCTCTCTCTCTGTCAAATAAATAAATAAGTAATCTTCTTAAAAAATAAAATAAAAAATAAATGGTCTCTCTCTTACTGTTTTTGTTCTTGACCACTGGTGTGTTTCTACAGTGGAGAACGGCCTAAACTTTGAAGTCAGAGGCGGTGGATTCAAATTCAGTCTCCAGTGCTGCTTGGCTGTGGGGCCCTGGGCAAGTCCCTTAACCTCTCTGGGCTTCCGCTGCCTCATTAGGCCCCTCTCAGGGTAACAGAGGAGGTGAAGTGAGCCTTGCCCCTGCCTCTCCATCAAAGTCCTATCAGCCCATTTGGATGGGCTGAAAATTCTTGAAATTTCTGGGTTGAAAACTTCCTGTCGAAATATTGCCTCCGATTGGTAGGGCTCGATTTTCAAGTCAGATTCTCTCACAAGGTGATTTGTCTGTTTCCCCCTCAAAGGCATTTACTTGCTGGTCCTCGGATGCCGTGAGTCGAGTCAGGCGAGGCTTCTCTAGAGGAACCTGGTCGTCAGCCGAGGCAGCAAGTGGTAAAGCTGCGATTAGGCGCCAGCTCTATGGAAAGGTCGTGTGTGGGAAAGAGGCCAACTCCAGGCCCCGTGCTCTCTGGCTGTCCCCACAACCTTGTCTGGCCTTCTCCCACTGCCAGAGCCAAGACAGCCTCCAGAACAACGGTCCCAAAATGTACTTTGGACTAAGCCACTCCCTCCCACTCACCGAATGTCCGCATGTCCGCAGGGCCATCCTGCTGCTCTAGGCTAAAGCCCCAGATCCTTCG